TAAATGCATTCTAACATTAGACTGCGTGTTGTCTTAATGATGTAATGAAGAAGTTTCAGTAGATATATATATATAAAAAAGGATTGGTTTTCATTTGAAAAAAAAATCATATTCTTTGACTAATGCATAATATTTCTATGAACAATAAAAACGCAAAATATATCATAAATAACTTAGTATCGAAACAAGTTTATACATTTTTACGTGAAAGTTTGCAGATGACACAATTCTTCTAGTAAGAGGTTTTATTATTAATAGATAGACGTTTCGGTTTCAACGTTGTTTATCTCCAAGCCAGCGTCTGATACATTCAGATGCTTACCGCTATCTTCTTCACGATATTCCTTTTCTCTATTCGCTTTCGTGCAGATGAGATCATCTCAAGTCACCGAGCTGTTAAATAGCACTTCCTTTGCTTTTAGACGATGTGACATGCGCAACCAATATATCTATTATCGCTTTTTAAGAAGGAGAATTTTTGCCTATGCATTCGCAAGCAAAGGCCTCTAAATAAGATGAGAAACGAACAGATTAAAGGACTAGGAGTCTCTTTCTCTTGGGTCATATCAGTAAATAAGTAAGTAAATACTTGACTTCGCATGAGTGATTCCATAGCATCTCTCGGCGTCTCTTACATTGTTATTTATTCTGGTATGTTCACCTATTAAATGTCTCTTTTGCCATCAGTAAACATGCGTTACCTTTCGCTGACCTTTTGTCGATATTCCTAGGTTACTAATGGTTTCTTGACACTTCTCTATATATTATCATTATTTTTCACTTTTCAGATAGCCTGAAGTAATTTGCATTAACTCTTATGTAAACTTTTTATGAACATGGTATTCCTGATGTAATAACATTATTATGATATAGATTTAAGGTGAATATATGTTTATATATAAATATATATATATATATATATATATATATATATATATATATATATATATATATATATATATATATATATATATGTATGTATGTATGTATATATGCATGTATCTATACACGAGAACATATGTGAGATGAATGCATTTATACGTAAACACAGATATACAAATACATATTAGGAAATATATCTAACATTGAATGCAGCTTGGTAAATATCCAAATAGAAAATACCTCCCAGCAAAACAGGCTCATTATTTTCATCTTTTAACTTATTCCTTCTGTTGCATGTAAGAGCTGTGATAAAAAAAATCTCGGGACTGGTGCTATAAAAAGAAAACTACAACACGTATCAATTCAGTGTTTAATATCCTTCGAAGTAGTCCCCCACCTGAAACCACATACTTTATCCAATATATGTTCCATTGATGGAAGCATTTCAGGAAGTCCTTTTGGTGGGTAGCCAGCAGCTGTATGGTAGCATTCTTTTTGATTTCCTCGAAATCTTATTCCTTTCAATTGGGATTTGATTTTTGAAGAGGAAAAGTTGCAGTGTGCGAGATCTGGGAAGTATTGTAGTTAAAGAACCTGAGGAATATTGTTCTTTGCCAAAAAACTGCTGCACAAATTGTGGTTACTGGTTGAACCTCTAAACACTTTCATTCAAAGTAGTGCTATAACCACTGGAAGAGAACGAGAAAGTTATAACTTAGTGCATATGCGCGACAGCATTCAAGGTCAATTTGCGCCAATCGGCTTCACTCAGCGTACTTTAGTTTCGTTACCATAGTAACAGTCACGATAGGTTTGATTTGACCTCATATACATTAGCGTTACTAAGAATTACTGTACGCCTTTCTGACAAATATTTATATGTGTATATATATATATATATGCGTGTGTGTGTATGTATGTAGTTGAGTCTTCCTTGGAATAACCGGGCATTTTTTCGTTTGCATCCAAACTAAGCTAAAAACCTGAAAAAACAAAAAACAGATTTGCTAACACATTCCCGATAGTTTTTGATCAGACTCGTATACATTAGCGTTACAAATAAATTATTGTACCCATTTCCGACGAATGCTTATGTCTCTTTATATATGCATATATATATATATATATATATATATATATATATATATATATATATATATATATATATTTTCAAACTAAGCTAAGAACCTGACAAAACAGAAGAGACATTTGCAACACATTTTATCAAAAAGAACAACGCATGCTTACACAAAATTTCACAAGAATGGATAGGGAATCCACTTTTAAAATCAATAAACAAAAGTATCTCTATTACTCTGTCACTAGAAAAAGGAGCTATATCCAATAGCGTTTTGTCCAAAAGTGCTCTTTTTTAACTGTTGCTTTTTAATGTCACTGCTAAATTCTACTTCTTTTTTTACAAAATGTCGTTTCTTATTGTTAAATATTTGTATTATTCATCAGCGTAGGATACAACCAAGACATACCTATCATACCTTAAAACTACCTATTTTTCAAATGTTGAGTCCTATATACATATTTGGGGATCGGCTAACGTAACTAATCCTCTATTTTATAAGATATACACGTATGATTATGAAACATGACTGACCCTATACACTTCAAAAAATGTAACCAAATGGCGAAACATGATTTTTGTTTTTAAAATCCTTTCTTGATTGACGTAAATGTACTTTAGCGACGTCCATATCTTTGAACGCAGTCAGTCTACAAGTGTTGAGACTCTGGTAGTTCAACACTGGTTACAATGGAGTGGTCATGTTATCAGGATGAACGACGATAGTTGGCCGAGGAGAAAGGATCAACGCACAAACTGAAATTGCGGTATAAAAACTGCTTCAAGAACATGCTGGAGAAGGCCAATATGTTGAAAAATGACATGGAAAACTTATATCTAGATTGTTCATCCTTCTGTAAAGCACAATGTATTAAACATAGTTGTGATTTTATTATCTCCTCTGATGTATCATGCCAATAACCACACATAGTTAGGATGACTGTTGCATGCTGTCTTGACAACAACTATTAGAAGAGACATTAACATATTCACCACTGTTCGAATAGGCCAATCATCTCGTGGATAGCTTTTCTGGAGTTAAGATGTTTGGTCAATCTTTTGTTTCCACCTGATAAGAGCTGGATAATGGATCGAGAACAATACTGAAAGAGTTTTGTGCATCCAATTAATTTGTAGTTATGTTGTATAACACTCTTATTTAATGAATTTTCCCAGGTTAATTTCAGCTCAGCATTTTTCAGTCAATTCTAATGCTAACAACGTTAATGCGATGTCAGGCACCAAAAATCATCAAAGACAACACACAAAGAAAGAAGTCATTCGCTTATTCACTGAAATGCCGTCATAAGATTAAGTGTAGTGAAAATGTTCAATGCCAACAGATGTCATGCCACTGAACCGCGCACATATTTTTGTTCAAGCAAAGGATCTTCTGTGAAGGGTCGGATCGTATGCCTACGAACGACTTCATGGCCTACGGGACATTTCGGCGGTGATTATGTGGTCAACGGTGGTCGAATATATATGCCTATATACGTAGATCAAGATCTAGCCTTACTCTTGCCAATCCTGACATATCCGAAGGATGGCAATAGTAGACAGAACAGGAGTCCACAGTACAAATCAGAACAAATGTGGCTAGCATTGTTTCAACACTTCTTAGCTAAGAATCGTTTACTTGCAATATGATCATGAGGACGAGACACTTTCACTCAAAGCCTAGAAGTGTTACGGAGAAAAACTGATCCACTGGCGCCTGTGTTGTTCAGTGATGAGAACACTTCATGCAAAAGATGACCATATGTGTGCGATATAAAAGTGTTGAGCGACACGTTCCAGTGTCTACTGACCCGCAGCAGACAGACCCAGGCGCTAAAAGCATGATAACAGTTATAACAGTTGCTCGCTTTTGGTATTTGTGGAAGATACATTAAACAGTGTTATGCGTGTTTTGAAAATTGTTCCTCCCGTTGTAGTGCCATTCTTGCAACAATGCACTTCTTACTTCCCCCTCTTATGTTTATGCAACGTCATTACGTAAAGTTCTACCTTGAATGTCTCTTTGGCTTTGTGTTAATAAAAGTATATTAATAAAAGAAAAAAAATAGCAGAATAATAGTCGCATACATGATATCCGTGCTACTTAACAAGCTATACAAGATGTTCGAAAACTTCTTTCGTCGATATGAAAGACCAATTTCTTATTATTAACCATTATTAGCCAATTCCTGCACAGGTGTTTTGTTTCAGACCAGTGGTTAAAAATAGTATCAAACGAATCAATTCTCAAATGTTAAAAAAACGATACTCCATTAGAATTATAGTTTTTCGCTACAAAATAACAAACGAAGATATTTACAAAGGAATATCTCGCTCGAACATTTCAAACAGAATCAACAACAAAAATTGGTAGTACGTGTAACTAGAAGATAAAATAACGATATTATCAAAGCTCTTAGCTTACCATACTATCAAAAACAAAAAATTGAAAGTAAGTTCCAATCAGTATTGGAAAGAGCTATAATATTTAATGAACATGAAATGTCTAAACTCCTTAAAGTTTCAATATAGATTAAAACTATCTTTTTGGTCAATGAATTTTCTGTATGGACGCAGTTAATTTCTCTCTTTAATGTTACCATTAAACATGTATGAATTTTCTGTATGGATGCAGTTAATTCTCTCATTATCGTTACCATTAAACATGTATGAATTTTCCGTATGGACGCAGTTAATTCTATCATTTCCGTTACCATTAAAAAAGTATGGAATAAAATAGGACGACACCTTATTTGTTTAATTCGCCACCCTTCAACTCTTAGGCAATTCAACAAGTGAAAAAGGCGTGGAATAATGTATTGCAGGTTGATATATGCCATCTGTCCGATCATATGCATATGTCTCTATTAGTGCCCTATGAGGATATATAGTTAATAATTGATATTAAATATGACGATTTTTAAAAATTAAGTGCAATCCAGATCTATTGCCTGTACATTCAATATTCAGGACATGACCACTATCTTAAATTAAGCTTCGCTTGCCTTTTTCTTGATTTTTTAGACTTGCATTTGCTTTACTAACAAATATGAAATGCCACAGACAAGCTGATTGTTATCCCCGGATACAACATGCCGTAGAGTATTTCTGCTGTGGGAAGCGGAAATGACTTTTCAAGCCAGAGTATGATTTCGTACTAAATAGACACACGGAGCATATTAGTTTGAGATTCTTCTTAATTTCAGAAAACATAAGTATCTCTTTATTTCTACCCCACTCTCTTTCTCTTTATCTCCCTCTCTGTCACTCGCACAAACACACACAACACACACACATATGAACAAATACACACACAAAGATAGATAGATAGATAGATAGATAGATAGATAGATAGATAGATAGATATATATTATAAACTATTTAATACAATCTATAATACAAAATGTTTTAATTCGTCACAAAAAAAAATATTTTCAAAGTATATTAGCTTTTACAAGTAAAAAATTCGACTTATCATAACCGAATTAAGTGAAAACTGAGAAAGTACTTTTTGTTGTAATTTTAGTCCTTTAGTCTTTTTTTTTATTTAGTATATTAGAAATTCAAATATAATAGAGAACATTTGATTGAAAAAAATGGTCACAGAATAAAAATCGATTCTCTTGTTTGTTGAGTCTTTTTCTAGAAGATTCACTTGATTCGGAATATCAAGCTGTTATTTTTGGGGGTGATGCTTTTAAAATCTGATCAATAATTTCTTTGTTTTCCATTAGTTTTCTTGCTTCATTTTTTTAAAACTTTGAATCAGTAAACGAGTTTCTGCAAAGAAATCTACATGCTTGTAAGTTGCAAATGCACCAGAGATAACATTATTCACAGTTCGAGTTTTAGGAATATGATGTTTTATGACTAAATAAATGATTATGTTTTTAGCTAGCTCACTCTGGGGAAGTGCAGGTGAAGTGCAGGTGAAGTAATGAATAAGAAATCGGAGCGCCGAGTTCGAATTACAGTCGAGTTCGGTACATTCACTTAAACGCAAATACCAATGCGGAAGATATGAATGAGTCTTTCCTGTTCCAACTACTGGTTAAAAAGTATGAATGATATCTAAAAAAGTGTTATACCTGGACGTACCTATACTATTATTAATAGACTCTCCCACACATATTAAGTAGTAGTAATAGTAGCGGTAGCCAGTTGGGCTCAGTGGTGTTGAGTGAGTCAGTCGATATCGGGCATTGAAGTACCAACTATCGCAACTAGATTGCTGCGTCATTAACTCTTATTTCAAGTTCCTAACGTTTTGTACGTCGAACCTAATTTAGGACGACTTATTGAAATACAAGCCTCCACTGTGAAAACTACTCTACAACAAAAAGTCATCGTTATCTCTTTATCTTAATACAAAATGTCAAGTTTTAATTAATCTCTAAAGTTAAACAACACTAAAATTGTTAGTATTAGAATTGAAATACTGAGCTAAAATTTACCTAGAAATTTTCATAAGCTTTATGCAACATATCAAAGCTTTATACAGCATAACTGCAAATTCTGTAAGTGCACAAATCCCTCACAAAATTGCTGTCGACCCATCCTCCATTACTTATTAGGTGTAAACGTAAGAAAGACAAATCATCTAAACTCTGGAAAAGACATCTATGAAATGATTGGACAATCTGAACAGTGATGGATATGTTAATATCACTTCTAAAAAATTTTTTGGAAATATACCATCCAGCATTCATCTATGTGGTTTTTTTGGTATGTTTATCAAAGGAGAGAATAAAGTCACAGCTACGTTGAACTCATTGTGCTTTTTCATCTGTAAAGGTTTTTGATATGGAAGTTTAATACAGAGGTTCTATGAGTATACTAATTCAGTTTAACTGCCTACAGCAGTTCTACATACGTGTCTTTTTCTACGTGTTACCAATGTTTCCCGTGGCGTCAGAAATTGTTGGACTGAACTCCCCCCAATTACATCAGAAACTGATATTTGCTGCAGATGTTTATTCGGATGTCAGTCTATCATTCATTCTAAGCCATCTTGTCAGTAATTAATAACAATTCTTTAACAAACCAAAAACCAATAATGAAAAAATTGTTGATTTCTAAAATATTTTGAGTGATTTAAAATATTATCAAAATCATCAAGTGGTATATACATTTATTACAAAAGTTTTTCCCCTCTATTTCTATTTTATGCATAAAGAAGCAATTAAAAAGAATGATTTGCTAAGCTATAGATCTAGTTTTAAATAGGCTTAAGAATAATAAAAAAACAATCTGCACCCTACGTTTCATTTACTAACTGTTTGATGAGAAAGCAATGGCATTTTATTTTCACAAGACAAAGAAAAACAAGTACAGGTGATTGTCTGAAGGTGTAAAATCTCATTAGTAACATGGCACGTGACCTCAGAGAATTGAAAATGAATCGTTGTTTTTTTTTTTTGTTTTTTTTTTTTGTGCGTGATTCTACATTCCTTTATAATCTTGGTCTTTAACCGCCCGTTCCCTGCATTATGTTTCAGATAAATAAATTGTGATTAATTAGAAGATTGAATATACAAGAGTCAAATTTATAACGGGAGAAAGAAATTCTCCTTACCTTAGTAATAAGAAAAACATATACAAATAGTATTGTTACTCAAATTGGAACGAAAAAAAAATATTTATTCATACATAAATATAACACACACACACACACACACACACACACACACACACACACACACACACACACAATAGATAGATATGACGAGGAGGATGGCGGTGAATTTATGTTTATACGTAAATGTGGACACATGAACGCACACATGCATGTGTGTGTATTTGTGTGTACCGTTGATATTAACCACTTTTTCACTATCAATTTAGGGAAACACACACACACACACACACACACATAAATACACACACACACATATACACTGCGTGCCAAATTATTATCGAGATAACATTTTTCTAATATTTCAAAAACCGTCCAATCAATTCACACAGAATTTTCAAACAATATTGGCAACAGTGACCTGCGCAATTACTGCAATTTTCGAACTGATCTGTGCAATGTAAACAAACTGGCACCATATTTGTTATCAGCACGGTGATTTGAGCATGCCAAATTATTAGAAAGGTTTAGTAAAATTCCCAGAATTGAGCAAACAAAACGTTTATTAATGTTGAACGTGAATGTTTATGATCAAAAGAAGCTAATAAATAAGAAAATCAAACAAATAATAACAGATAAAAACAAAGGCACAGTTTTGAACAAATTAATAGGGAATGTGCTTTCTCTGTTTTGAAATTACTTGAAGAAGTCGACGATCCATAGAATTTGTTAATTGTAGGATGTCATCTGCTGTAATGCCGTGAGATATGTCAAGAATTGCTTTCCATAACTCAGCGTTGCTCCTGAATTGTCGTACGTTGGCGTACAGTCTTCGCTTCATGATGCTCCAAAGGTTTTCGATTGGGTTCAAATACGGAGAATTTGCTGGCCACTTCATTTTTCGAGGTCTTTCGAAGCCTAACTGTTTCAAATATTCAGTAGTCTTGTGAGCAGCATGTAAGGGAGCATTATATTGCATAAAATCAATGGCCCTTCTGAAGGCAACTGTTTGCCTTTTCATCCACGGCTCAAGATGTTCCTTCAAAAACGCTATGTATGCGTCAGCAGTCATTTTGACGCCATCTGGTACTCTCCATAGGCCCACTAATGTTTTTGCAATAATACTACCCCAGATCATTATGCCTCCACCGACTTGTTGGCGTCTCAAACTCTGATAGCGATTCTGTCCGTTCATTACCCAGCCTTTGCACCATCTCTCTGGCGCATCAAGTGTTGCTCGAGTTTTGTCTGTGAACAAAACTTTAGAGAAGTCAATCCTCATATTGTCCTCGGCCCATTTCCATTGATTTTGAATGTGATTTCTCGTCAACGGAGGCTTCGATACAGGTTTGACTGTTGTTGCTATTTCCCTCAGATACCGACACCAAGTACATTTAGACACAGTAGGATCTCCAATGCGACTTAAAAACTCTTGATTGGTAAATCCAGGGTTATTCGTGGCCTCTCGTTTAAGTCGTGACATGAGACAACGTGAAATAACCATCGACTTGCCTGTATCTGCCCTACTGCGTACTTGTGTAGGGTCGGCGGTGAACTTTTTCACTCTTTGATGACACCTCCCGATCATTTTAGAAATTTCTAGAGTAGATTTAACGTTTGAGAGTTCTGAGGTGATAATTGTCTTTTCAGCATCACTTACACTGCTTTTACGGCCCATCATTTCACTAACTTCTTAGACTTTTATAATAATTTGGCACGCTCAACTCACCGTGCTGATAACAAATATGGCGCCAGTTTGTTTACATTGCGCAGATCAGTACAAAAATTTCAGTGATACTGCAGATCAGTGTTGCCAACATTGGGTTAAAATTTTGTGTGAATTGATTGGACGGTTTTTGAAATATTAGAAAAAAGTTATCTCGATAATAATTTGGCACGGTATTTTGGTATATACATACATATATATATATATATATATATATATATATATAAAGAGCCAGGAAAACCTACCTAGGTTTCAACCAAACGGATCTTCAGGGTAAACAGATCCATTTAGGTGAAACCTAGGTAGGTTTGCTTGGCTGTTTAGGATTTATTGTAGTTATTCCCCTTCTACGTAACGTATTGTGCACTCTAAGTTATAGTCTTAGTACTCGCTTGTTTTTTGTTTTGTTTGGACTAAAGACTTAAGGCACTGGAATTTTATTTCGCCCTGTTCGGATGTTTATAGTTCTTTCTTTTTTGTTTCCAATTTTTTCTTCGGCTCGGTGCCGATTTCTTTTGACATAACTACAAGTTGAGCTTTTATTTCCAAACGGGTATTATTATTATTAGTATATATATATATATATATATATATATATATATATATATATATATATATATATATATATATATATAAGCCCAGATATGTCATATTTATGGTGGAAGAATTATCAATATGTGAGATAGGATGTTTGTAAATATACAATATAGAGCTGTATAGTGTCTATGAGTTTCACACCTCGAGCGTGTCTCTGACCATACTGATGAGAATTGAAATATTGCACTAACATAGATAGATAGATAGATAGATAGATAGTGAACAAAATGAGATAGATAGATAGATAGATAGATAGATAATGAACAGAATGAGATAGATAGATAGATAGATAGATAGATAGATAGATAGATAGATAGATAGATAGATAGATAGATAGATATCAAGTTCGTATTCATTTTTCTATAATCGTAATATATTCATATAATTCTTTAGAAAATATTATATTTATAGATTTCATAATGTCGAATTTTTAACGTTTTATGTAATGGGGGCTTTGCGTGTTTTAGAAATTCATTAGTGTACACATATAAGGAAACATGACTGTTCTTTACCTTGAACGGAATTCAAAATCCTGTCTTATAATTGGACTCGAATAACGACTGAAGTTACCGGAAGCTACTAAGTATTTCTGTATATAAAATGATAATATGTTAAGACTTTTTAGATAGATAGATAGATAGATAGATAGATAGATTCGAACAATTGAGGCGACATTAAGCACTGGATGAACGTGAATGTTCCGCATAAGAAGTTAAAAGTTTGAATTGGTGGTAGATCGAAAGAACTTGGGAAGGCTTGGTTGAAAAGATCTTTGAATGAGAAACTGTGAGTGACAGAAGAAACAGATGAAACGGAAGTAGAGCTTATTACAAAGGGAACCGCGCTATACAAAAAGATGCATTAAGTGGAACGAAGTAGAAAGTCAAAGTGAACGGAAAGAGTGACAAGGAAACAGAAAATGGAGAACCAGTGGAAGATGGAATGAGGAGACAATCGAACGAAAACAAAGTTAAAGTTGGTAGGAGTATAAACAAAATAGGTGGTAAAATGGAAGTTAATGAAGAAAGAAAGAAAGAAAGAATTAATTAGTTAAGGAAAATATATAGAAGGAAATTAAAAAGAAACAAATAAGAGAAAATACGTATTAAAAGAGAAATACTGAAATGCTGAATGGATAAATCAAAAGACGCGTACTGGAAAAAAGATATAAAGAAGGATAAAAACAAAAGTAAAGAAAAAATTTAACACTCTCGCAAGCGATAGTTAATTTCTTTGTTCATTAAACAAATAATAGGAAAGATTTGGAAGGAATAATTTTTATAGGTCAGCATTCATTCAATCCACGACATTTGCTAGCATTGAAAAATATTCATTTTTATAATTTAAGATGGGGTTACTTTTCTTTACATAAATAAAGTTCTAAATTGATCCCTGACTTAGTAAAGAGTTATCTGTACTTTTTATTTACAAATGTCAAATTTGAAACACTGCTTACGTCATTGATAACTGCGTACTACTGATGTTCTTTTTCCCCGATTCGTAGTATTAAGCATTTATCAATGACGTACGCACATTTTCAAACGTGACATTTATAAATAATACTTATTAACCTCAAGAAAAACATTGAAGAATATTTTATTCGAAATATTAATTACAAATAAATTAAAATTTATTGAAAAAAAATAATTACAGTTGACCACTGATGACAATTCCAGAACAACGTAACAATAATGAATTTTTCTAACCTCTGCCAGCCGCAATGATGGAGAAAGCATTACCTCGAACTATCGCCAGTGAGACACGCTGCAAGAGCCACTCCGTTGGAATATTAATTCGAATCGAGATTCTTGGAAAGAAGTGATTAATATAGGACGCAAATCAACGCTAAATAATATTACAAGAAATTAATTATATTAATAAAAATCGAGTTCTTGCGTTAAATAAAAGTTACAAAGTTTCAGCGAAAATATGTGTGTTTTTTTTTTTTTTGTAAACAAAGCTAAATCGAAGAATATTAATTAATATCGAAGGACGGTTGATCTCTAATCAATGTATATGCAAGATAAATTTACCTTGCTAATGTTCTGACAATTTTAATTAAATCATAACTCAGATGACTAATTGTCAAATTTTTTATTTCAGGTAAGACCTCAGCGGTAAATTATTTTCGTGAGTTTTCTACGTTCATTGTAAATAAACGATTTTAAAAGTCTATGAATATTACCAAAATTCGAAGGCCAGTCAATCATTAGTCATTTTTAATCAATAATATGAAACAGGAATTCAGTGGAAATTTTAATTAATTCACAACTCGAATCTGAATGCTAAAAAAATACTTCAGAAAGGGAACGTATATATCGTAGAACTCTTCAACAACGAATGGGAAGAACTGGCAATACACAGAAATACTGACGGGCCGGTAATATTAAAAATCGAAGTGGAAGCTGTACTGGCAAAATTGAACAAAAACAAAGCGACAGAACCAGATAGAATTGTAATAGAGGTGCCTGCAACCTTAGATGATTTCGGCATAGACAAGAACACAGGAAGAATAAATTAAATCTACAATAGTAGTGATATAACGGACGACCTAAGGAGACCTTTTTTTCATAGCGATGGAACTAGGCGCGTGTGAACTCCATCGGACAATCAGCATAATGAGCCATATAACTAAACTAATCATCCGAATTATGATGAACAGAGCACGCAGTAGAATCAAACTGGAGATAGGACTATATTTAGTCGTCCCCCCACGAGGGCGTCATGTGGCACAAGGCCTTTTTAACGTGGGCATTTCCGAGCCATTAGGCTCGGCCAAAAAATAGCCCATTTGAACCCGTATAAACGGGATCAGGGCCGATTTTACCTCCCTGAAAGAGACTCCGCCCTTCGGCGTAGCCCCCTTCGTGTTCCTCTCCGTCCGTAGACAGAGAGTTGAACCGTCGCTCAGAAAGTGAGCGTCGGACTCTGGAGATAGGACAGGAACAGTACGTGTTCGTCAAAGACACCGGAACAAGGAACGCTATTTATGCTCATAATTTTATCAGAATGAGAAATTTAAATGCAGAAGGACTTGTAACTGTGCTTTATAGATTACGCAAAGGCGTTCGATAAATTACACCCCAAAGACCTGTTATAAGTGCTCAGCAACCATCATATATTTGGAAAGGATATTAAAATAAGCAAGAAGCTACACTGGCAGCAAACCGCCTGCATACGGATAGAAAATGAGTTCATCATATACAAAAAAAAGAAAAGTGTGTAAGACAAGGATTTGCCTTCTCACCGGACTTGTTCAGCCTATATAGAAAGGTAATTCTGAGAGAATAAGTTGTCTTGCCAGCATTTGTTTTTGGCGGTAACAATCATAACAACATAATATATGCAGATGACACAGTGTTGATAAATGAAACAGAAAGGGAGCTAAAAATGCTCTTAAATATGTAGTGAAGGAAAGCGAAAAGAAAGGACTAAATATAAACTACAAGAAGATGGAATGCATGGTTATTAGCAAAAGGAAGTGGCCATAATGCAAAGTACATACCAAGAATACTAAAATCAAACAAGTACAAAAATTTAAATATCTGATAAGTGTTTTAACAGGAGACGGTAAATGCAACACTGTAATCCGATGACAAATTGAGATTGCCAACGAAACATTCCAAAAGCTAAGCAGAAATAACATCGTTAGAAACAAAAATAGTTCTGAACTATTACGTGGTATATGTCCTCCTATATTGCAGTGAGTGATGAACAGTCTCTGCAAAGATGAGGAAGAGACTTGAATCAATAAAAATATGGTTCTACAGAAAGATGCTGAGGATACCGTGGATCGAACATATGAGCTACTACGAGGTTTTAGAGAAAACGGAAACAAAAAGGAAACTTATTCTTAACTTCAGAATGAGTCAGTTGAAATTTCTGGGGCAGGTAAAGAAGAAGGAATGCTTGGAAAATCTGATACTCACAGGACAGATTGAGGAGAAAGGAGGCAGAGGAAAACAGCGCGTAATACACTAAGTAATTGGATGATATAACAGGGTTTTGGAAAAACAGCAAAAAGGCAAAATGTAATAAAAGCTACAATAAACAGGAAGCTGTTGAGGGCCATGATCGTCTACGTCCTGAAGGGTTACAACATATAAAGAAGATGGCTGAAATCGCTTCGCTTTCAGCATTGTTTTCAGATTAGGAAAGCGCCAAAAGTCACACCTTGACAAGTCGAACAGTTTGTGTGTTGTCCTTGACCAGGAAATCTTAATTTAGTACGCTGTTTCTTCTTTCTCTATCGTTCCCCTTCCTCTCAATACTGGCGTGTAATCGATAGCATTTCCGATAATATAGACAAGGCCATCTCTCTACATCCGTTTGAACATATATTCGTGTTCGGTGACTTTAATGCCCACTATACCATGTGACTTGAACACTCTCTAACTGACCTCGCTGGCATCCAAACCATTAACTTTTCAATTACTCAATCCCACACGCAAGCGGTTGACTTTCCTACACGTTTCACGGTAACGGTTCATTTCAAGATCTCTGCTTTACCGCTATCCCTGACTCTTGTGACGCTACACAGCTCTGCTCTCTTGGCAACTCAGATCACACTGAAGTGTCTAAGAACATCCCGTTCCATCCCCGCCCCAGCCAAGAACCCCCTACTAACAGAATATCTTTATGTTATTAACGCGCAGACTGGGACTCATTTCGTGATTTCCTTCACGAGGTCCGTTGAAATGTGATTTTTAATCACCCCGTTCAAAAAAGTGCGTTTGCGGTCTCCTGGATAAAAGCCGGAATTGAGGCTTTCATCCCAGTAAGAAAATGCTAAGTTTAATCACGATCATCTCCTTGGTTCTCAGCTGCTTGCTCAGCTGCTATAGTCCATAGGAATCACTTCTCCCGTCTGTACCGTAGCGATATGTTTGATTGCAACAGACGTCTCTTTTCCTCTGCTTGTAATGAGTGCAAGCGAGTCCTCAATGAAACAAAGTTACTACTTGCTGATAGTATGAAACAACATATTGCATCTCGCAAGTTTGGTTCTAAGGATTATTGGCGGCTCTGCAAGAGTGTGCTGAACAACATCAAATCTTCAGTCCCTCCTCTATTCAATCAATTCTTTTTCACAAACAAGATGTGGCTTTACTCTGCCTTTTCTATAAATATTTCCACGACAACTGTTCTGGCGAACTATTTATACTCATGCGGTACAAAAGCGTATTAAGGCATTAAAAACTAGAAATGTTGTATTGTAGGCCTTGATAAGTCGACCGGTTTCGTCCCCTCTCGTCAGAACTGTTAACGGGGAATTTAGATTATGAGGAAAAGAAAAAAAGTCTGTCATGGGTGACATGAATGAATGGACAGGGAAGGAAGAAAAAAAATTAAAAAAATAAAATGATACTAACCAAGCTTCGTAACACGTATGGGTCCTCGATTGCGGATCATTTTATAAAGAATCCAACTTGTGCGATGGATTTCAGTGTGAACTGGTTTTACGTCTTGGCCAGTTCGCACTCACTTTTCCATCTTAAGGTGTTGGAGTCACTTTACATCAGGTCTAGGCAACCTGCTCTTTGCAAACAAAGAGATTGTTTGCTTGGACTTGCTGTTCTCCGCTTCTAGCAGCTTGGTTGGTATAATTTTATTTTTTTCTTCCTTCCCTGTCCATTCATTCATGTCACCCATAACAGACTTTTTTTTTTCCTCATGATCTAAATTCCCCGTTAACAGTTCTGACGA